ATGCTGCTATTCGTCAAACATCTCAGGAGGTCATTTTACTAACAGCGAAAAGTTCGACATGCCGACGTGTTACATTTTGTGGTGCGAAAATACTAAAAATACTGCAGAAATGTATCTTGATAAATTTCCCGAAAGAAGTCTGCCAAGATGAAATGAATATGTTTCATTGAAAACGCCAGCTACCTCTCGAAATAAGGAATCTTTAGAGAAAACTCAGAATAGTGTTTTACAATCAGTTGCTGAGATATCAACTAGGCAAATTGAGAAAAATATAGGAGTAACCAAGTTTAGCAGCCCAATTTTATTTTGCGTAAAAATGGGAAGACCAGTGGATAGCGAATGGCACCAGAATATTTGAGAGTGGTACAAAAGAACGTGTAAAGAATATTTTAAACTCCCTTCAAAAATATTATTTTACAATGAGATTATGGTTACCAATAGTTGTATCTTTAATCCCCGCAACACTCATTACTGTGCTCAAGAAAACCTGTGGGATAAAAAGGTATCTGGAGCTTTTGGGTTTAACATGTGGGGTGTAAATCTAGGGGCCCAGATATTAGGTCCATCTATTTTCCCCAACTCATTGACTGTAGAACGGTACCTTTAATTTTTGCAACATGATATAGCAGACTGCCTGGATGATCTACCTTTGGTACAGGTGATTAGCTGTTGATCTCAACAACGCGGTGCTCCTGCGCATAACTCTAGACAAGCTCGAGAGTATCATTCTCAGCGATATCCCGGAAGGTGGATTGGAACCTCCAGTGAAGTGTCCTGGTCAGCGCCTTATACGAACTTAACTCCTCTAGACTTTTTTGTGTTTGGTTTTATTAAAAAATAAGTTTATCAGCATACGTTTGAAACTGAGCAGCTGTTATGAGAATGTGTAATGTAACCATTTAGTACGGAGTAACACAAACTAAAGGTTAGGCGAAATGGGTGGTACATTTAAGGATCATAAAAACCTTAAAATTATTTATGTGTCGAATGTAGATGTCAATAAAAAAATCGTAAGTCATCGTTTATAGGAGCATCACAGACCGCTAAAGCGGTACGTACTTCTAATATTTAAATATTGCTAAAATATATAATATTATCCCATAGAGGTATGTCAGTGATGACGGGCCGCAGATTCACCAGTTGGAGTTTGTTACCCAAAATCTCAGTCGGCAGTGGGCTTCATAATACAGCTTTGCGCTGTGCACCCAACGATTGCAAGTTATTTCAAATTACTACCACAGTATACCTCGGACTTTTATCATCTAATTCTTCCGTTGTGAGCGGGATCAGAAGCTTCTTTAAGATGGAACGTCTTTAACTAATACTAAAGTTGTAACATTTACATCCCCCTTTCACCTACGACCTCCATTCCAAGTTTCAACCCTACACATTTTTTTTTTCGAAAATGATCAGACTCCTCTCTAAGTTTGAGCGATTTTATTTTTTTTCTTGCTTTTTCCCTAGCTCGGCCGCCACTGGACTGATTTTCAAAAACTACAGCCTTGGCGTAGAAGTAACTTTGTCTGAAAATCTCTTCAAAATCAGACAGACACACCGACAGAATGAACGAAATATCTTACAAATCTCCTTTTTTTAAACGGGCCTGAAAAGTATACCTATTGAGAACAATTGTGACAAAATGTCATGTAAAACTATGGTTTCAATTTTAGTCAATCTTGCTGCTGCCGATTTTCACAATGAAAACCATATCTCTAGCTGTTGCAAGCTTGTTTATATAATGGAAATAATAAAACTTCAGAAGATTCTGTAAATACGAGTACACTAATTTGCGATGACTTACAAAAAACTGTCTAACTGTGGTGGGTTGATTTCCTAGAAATGTAAATCAAGTCTAGGAATATGAGGACCTTGCAAAATCGTGAATATAACGTTTTATCACTATTATAGTAGATGAAGTAACCCAGAGCAAATCACTCCACCGAGTGCCCGCAGGGGTATTATGTAAAAATCTAAATACGTAAAAATATTGCAGCCTAGGTAGGTTTTAGTGTGCAAATAGTTCAAACCACATTTGCTCGCTATGACCGCTGTGAGCCCCATCAAAAGCGTCCATCTATGGAGGAATGACTCGACGACACGACTTCCATTGCTGGTTGCTTATTGATTGCAGGAAGCCAAATAGTCTGTAGTGTTTATATCTGAGATGTGAAGAAAGTTGTTTTAGAGGCAAGGTCGCATCTAGGTGATTATGTGTATTGGTCTGCATGAGTGTATAAAATTAGTGATATTTGCTATGTGAGAAAATTATTACTGAACATGCTGCCAATGAAGTACCTATATCTGTTAGCTGTGCCTGACGCGTTATTTATATGTTGTCATTTCTGGAGAGAGGTTGGCCCGAGTAAATATAACATGGCCACGCAAGACAACTCTTGAAATATACTCTACTAGGGTCTACAACACTATCCGCAGCGATTTTTTCCTGAAATCGTTACGCAAAACTTGAATAAATACAAATCAAAATTGGAAGATCGACGGCTTGACATAAGTTTTGGCAGCTGACCTTGTTACACTTGTCAAATAGATTGCGGGGTTGCCAGCTCATCGGTCGTTTTTGCCACCTTTCGTATTTAGTCAGAGTGTTATAAAGAAAGAAGTTTTGAATAAAATATTGAGGAATACCAATGGAGAAACACAAGATTTGAGATGTAATAATGTTTGCTAAATAGCTAAAGATGATTCCGATAAAAATTCCCCTAGTACGTTCAGGGACAAACGAAACAAGGCTGGTGGTGTTTATGTTTTATAATTTGTATTTTTACGAATTGTTATCAAAATTTTAATCATTTATATCTCGTTTCCACAATTTGCACATAAACATAAAACAATTATTTATGTTGTAAATTTCCATGTGTATAAATAGCGTGTCTAGGTATTTTGGAGTAACATCAAGAGTAACATGATGTTTTGATATTTACATTGCAGTTAAGTACTATGCATAATAATAAAAATAATGCATTTAATAAAGAACTTAACTTTTTTAGGATGGATATGGTAAAACAACTAAAAAAGTATATTTTTGTACACAATTATTATAGGTTCCTACAAACATAGAATATTATAATACCCGATCCATAGCTACATGATACAATCGAAGGTGGAAAATTGTAGAAGATATTCTATGTGGGAACATTTGTTGGCATTTAGTAGCTGGGATCAATTGGTCAAGCCCATTCAAAGACCAATATTAAACACCTTGTCCACAGTATAGGGTATCAGTTCTGATCAACAGCTAAGAGAGAGTGCTAGTGAAAAATAAACCTAGGTTCGTGTTAAATAAGACAAAAATATGGTGACCTGAAATTTAATCCCATATTAGGAAGCTATGTCTGTGCTTAGAACAGCTCAACAGGAAACTTCGGCTTAATATCAGATATGCACATACATTAGTATGATGTACTACTGTAATATCACATTGTCATGAAATTCACGCTGTGTGAGATAATATCTATATATATATATATATATATATATATATATATATAATATATAATATCTATATATATATATATATATATGCAAGTATTATTTTACTATTTATTGGTAAATTGAAGACCTTAACTGCAAAAGGGTCTAAGTGCCACAAATACCAAAAATCAGATTTTTTATTAAAAAGCGTCTATATACCAAGCCTAACGAAAATAAGAAGATTCCATGTGCCAATGCACTCCCAAAAGGTGGAAATGGTGGTAATATTGATAGCGTGTCTCTATGTGCCATTATGAAGAATATTCACAGGGGTCTATGTGCCAGCAACTCGTTTGCCTCAAGGGTTTTGCTTGCAGTCATCTTCCTAGGACCTATTTGTTTGGACTTACCCAAATCGGAGCTGTTTCTCGACGACGACGTGAACAATATAAAGAGCCCAAAAATAGTCCTCGACCAGCAACCATATTCTTTACCGTTCAAAATTCAGATGCCGAACATGTTAGAATTTGTCCGCAAACATTTAGTAAAATTTTTTTTTCAGTCTCACAAACAAGTACAAGTGTTGGTGAACAAGAAGAAACTCGGGGATGTTACGTATGAGGACAAAAGAGGAAAACATACCAAGGCAATAAAATACAATGAAGAAATCCGAAATCAGATTCGGGCTACACATAAACGCAGTTCCTGTGGAAGAGAATCACTGCAGCAGGAAGAAATCCAGCCAAGAGCCGGGATTTAAATATAAATCGCATATATAGAGCCTTAAAAAAAATAGAGTGACACTAGTGTGACTTACCGTTATCATTCAGACATATTTCATGAAGAATTTTCAGATCTGCGATTCGGTAGAACCCATTCTGATACTTGCAGCACTTACGATTTATACAACAATGCCTTAAAATCCAATCCTAATGACAAAGGTATAAGCTTGAAAAAAGAACTACATTTGAGAAAAGCTGAGACAGCATCTGATGGACTGAAAAAAGATACTTTGTCATCTCAAGAAATCGGTAATAATCTATATACTGTCAGTATGGACTTACAACAAGTAATTTTCATTCCCACGTTAACTCGCAGTCAAATGTTCTACAGCAGGAAACATTCTTTATATAATTTGTGTATTTATATTTTCAATATGAATGAAGCTATAATGTGTATCTGGGATGAAACCATGGGTGGTAGAGAAGGAAACGAGATTGCATTATGTTTGCTTAATGTTGTTGCTAATGGTCGTCTTCCCCAATATGGAAGAAAGCTTATTATGTGGACAGTCAACTGCATAGGGCAAAACAAAAACAGGATGGTGCTTATGGCCTTCATCTTTTTGGTAGTAAACGACATGTTTGATGAAAGATATATGCCTTGCGATAGGGACTTCGCGTTGATCGAGAAAAGAAAAAAGTCGAAAAGTGCTACACCCCCTCAAAGTGTCGGAGAAATTATCAAAAAGCAAGACATATTGTGCCATTTCTGACAATGACCATAAAGCCTGAAAATTTTAAAAATTTACAGAAAGCTGCCGACCTTGACCTAAACACTTCAAAACGTACCTATCTAAAGTATCAACTCTAAAAGTAAGTAAAGATAATCCTGCAACTATTAAAATAAAAAAAACATTTAGCGAAGTTGAAGACTGTCAGACTGTCAACATTTTAAAGAATGGAAAAAAGATCGATGAACTTGTCAGAATCACTGTTGATAATCTAAATCTAAATGTACCTGATCGCATCGCCAAAGAGATACTTAAAAATTTGGAAAACATACCCTGTATACCCCGCCAACATCAGCCGTACTACAAAGACTTGGTAGAATTACATCAAAATGACTGTGGAGCTTCCACTAGCTCTGGCACTTAGAACTTTTTGTATTAAATGACGATGGACTTAGACCCTTTTACAAATGTTAAGTTTAGTTTTCGATTTTGATACTGAGATATTGTGTTCAATGTATTTAAAATAAGTTCTTATAATTATTGTGTGATACTTTTTTGAATAAAAAACATTCATAAATATTTCGTTCATTATTCTTTCTAAATATATGCTTTATAACTATAACCCTTAAATACCTAAATGGCACATACCTGTAGACCCTTTTCAACTTATGGTCTTCAATTGTTGATTACAAAAAGTATTTATGACTATTATTGTTAGGTATTATGAAATTATAAATATGTTTGCTGGAACATATAAAATATATTTGTACTAAAATATATGTTTTTAGTTGTTTTACCATATTCACCCTAAACAAGTCAAGTTCTTTATTGAATTCACAATACATGGACACACACTACTCATGCACATGGAAATCTACAATATAAATAATAAATAAGACAAAAATATGGTGACCTGAAATTTAATCCCATATTAGGAAGCTATGTCTGTGCTTGGAACAGCTCAACAGGAAACTTCGGCTTAATATCAGATATGCACATACATCGACGTGAGCTTCTGCGAAACAAATACTGTAAAACACCTTTCTCATGGCCAAATTCTTGGTCAAAATGCGATGAATTGAACCTTTAGATATATTTAATTACATTTCTATGTATCTCAATGACGATTTTGTATCATTTTTGATAAACTCACGCACTTTTTCGACGGTTTCTGGCGTAATTACAAATGTTGGCTGTGCAACAAGCTCGTCTTCCAGCGACTCACTACCCTCTTTGAACCGTGTAAACCACTCGTGGAAGCGGCTTTGAGATAAACAAGCATCACCATACACTTGCATTAACATCTGATGCGTTTCGGTAGATGTAATATAGAAAATTAAAAATTCTAAATTAGCTTTTCATTCGCTACTCACGAATTAAGACACATAAAGATCCTAACAGATTTATAATGGTTGTAGAATTAAAAATAATGGAAACTGACAACTGACCGGATTTTCCTATATCATAGTGATTATATTTTACAGCATCTACAGGATGTTAATAAAGTATGTAGACAAACTTTAACCATCGAATCCTTGTCAATTTGAAGGCTGAATGTTCATATGAACATGAATCCGTAACGGCTTTCTTTTCGAGCTAGAGCACTATCACTAAAGAAATACGAGTAATGTACCAAATATTTCTATGAATAATGAAACGTATTCATTGAACAGTTGGTATAACGTACGATAAATTTTGCATGTTTTACAAGTTGCTGATGCTCAATATGAACTTGGATGAAAATAGTATCCTGTATTTCTGTAAAAAAAAATATTTAGAAGGTCAATAGTTTTGAACAGTCGCATAGCACGACAACAATAGAAAATATCGAATAGTTTTTTTTACAATAAATGTTCAAAGTTCGACTTCCATACAGGCGTTTAGTCTGTTACACATTGACTGACGAACTCTCCTGAAAATACCCGGAGTATTTTGTATAGTCAGACATGACTCGACAGTTATGTCTCTTAAGTCCTCCACGCTTTTTGCTAATATGCTCTAGCTTGAAACCAAATCCGTTGCGGGCACATGTTCATATGGAAACTTCGTTTTCAGATTGACCAAAGATTCGATGGTTAAAGTTTGTTTTTATACTTTATTAATACCCTGTATAATAGCTGAACATGAATTGGCATTACATTTTGTCCTTGTACAAAAATGCCATCTGTATGCTGTCGTCAGTTCTTAAGGACTACGTTTGGCACAAGTTAGCCCTTCTGAGAAAAAATTTAGCTACAAACACGTATAGCAAAAAGGCAAATGACCTTCCTCCTCCTCTGAGAGGAATTGCTGGAGGCGCAAACGATCGTTGCGATGAGTAATGGGCTTATGGATGCACAGTGCACGTAGCTCACATCAGTACGAAAGCGATTGCCGACAATGACGTACGACCATTGACGACGACGCTTGCCCATCGGGAGACATCCGACTGTAGGAGATATTGTGAATATATCAGGACATCTATGATGAGTGAAATATGCCTAATATTAGCGTATAATTACTGAGGTAGGAGAATAGAGACGTATACATATGCCAACGTCAAAAAAGTGATATATACTATCCCCGTCCCCTGCAACTAATAATCCCCAGTTTTTTACCCCTAAAAAAAAATTATGAAAATGATCAGGAGCTTTTGGCCATCTCCGCCACCACTTTACCGATTTTCAAAAACTACAAAACTTTTGCGACCGACTGACACGAGTGACATCCAAAAAACGTATTATCTTATTTTCGAATTTTTTTGCGATTACAATACTTCCCTGCCAGTAGGCGTGGGAAGTAAAGCAATTGGAGATTAGATGTTGAGTTGTTTTTTTTAAGAAGTTTCATTTTCATTTACTTTTATATTCAAGAAAACTTTGTGTATCTGTGTTGTGTGCTCGCGCTATACGAAAATCGTACCTTAATCGGCCGCTGAGCTTACGCCGGTCTTGATTTGTTCGTCCTACCGATTTTATCGCTGTATCTACCGAATTTCAAAGACACTATCTACCGATTTCGTATCTTTTGGTTTGGCTTGCAATGCTGTTCGCACGCCTCATTCGAGATTACAGTGCTCACGGCGCCCCGTAACAATTGTTGGTCTTCTTCGCGATTATTTTCATTGAAACAAAAAATACAGCTCATCCGTTGTATAAATAAATATCACTGAAAGTCCTTAGTAGAACAAAAATATAATTTGACATTGTAACGCTTCCTTTCCGCAAAAAGTCCAGAAAAGATGGAATGCAATGAAGATTCCAACTTTTCTGCACAATCACAGAAAGGGGGTTAGCATTAGCTTCCGGTAGCTCAGTCGGTGGCATGAAGACATCTACAGGCATGTAGCTGTGTGTCGACCATCGCATCGCTAGAGGATAGAAGAACAAACAGAACACAAAAATTTAACAGATTTTATTTAACAAAAAAGCATTTTCTTTACATTACAATTTTAAAGTTTTAAAGAACAAAATAAGTTTTAAATCTTTGGCGCTGCTATAAAACTATCAACTTATCTTTCGCTGGTCCATTTTGACTTTACTGAAGCGAGGATGGCCAGGTGCTTGAAGTGGAGGTCCCAGTTATGAGGGGTGACCTCAGATATAGTGGCTTCAAAACCAGGTGTAGGCGAAGTTGAACTTAAAGGTGATAGCGCTGCCAAGGCACATGCATGGGTGAAGTGATAGGCCAAGCAACGCAAAGTCAAAGACAAAGGCAAAAGCAAAGTTTAAGACAAAGGCAAAAGTCAAAGACAAGTGCAAAGGGAAAGGGAAAGTGAAAGGGAAAGAGAAAGGGAAAGGGGGTGGCCCCAATCTGAAAAAGAATCGTGTGCATTAGCAACGTGCCCTAATGGCCAAGGGATTTCCAATCTCAGTCTGCCTCAAAAGGGAACCAACTATTTTCTAGGTTAGAATTACATTACATAGTTTGATAAAATCAAACCGAAAATTCGAAATGCCTTTAATAAAATAAAATCATGAAATAGCAAAAAAAAAAGCGTAAAACAAGATGGTGGTCATCAAAAATTTCTCCACATGCTTCTGATATAAAAACACAAATATCGAATATTCATAATCAACGTACTCATAATTTCACTTAACTATGAATATACGTATATATACGCACACAGAAGTAAAATCGATGTGGATCGATTTCTACCTCGATTTGATTAAAGTTATGGCGAATGATCGAAGTAGTCGAAAATGACGTTCGATGGATATTTTAAAATCGTACAAGAAATAAACCACTTACATATCGATTATCTATAAACTACAGGCAGATCCAGCAATGAAACTGTATAGTATTATAAAACTCATCATTTTGTCCTATTCGGACACACATTCTACAAAATTCTAGCACATGGTGCTATATGACCTCATGCTACAGAGAACAAAATTCTTAGCTCTTGCTACATCGGCGGCTCAAGTGAAAAGGAAGCGCGAGGAAGATCGCAGATCAGGAACTCCTCATCAAGCGGGCTCCAAGCGGAAAATTTTCCAAGTAAAAAAGCTAGAGATGGGACTAATGAATTGCGATTCTGAAATGATAATCGAGAAGTGATTTAATAAATACAATCGGACGGTGAAACCGTTACAACATGAAGTATCAAGAAGTTTGAAAAGGCTTTATCGCAAGTCAAGTTGAATAAGACAAAAATGAAGTCGAGACAAACATACTGAGTGACAAAAAAAAGCAAACACCTACGTATTTTTATCCGATGACAATAATTTTTGGCATATATGTTCAGTGTCCCTTACTAGTAAAATGATTAAATTTTCAACTTGATTCGTCAACTGACTGCCGAAGCTGGTTCAGTATTGTGTTGAGGATCCACGATATACACTCAATGACACGCCTATACATCGTGCTGATAAGGTGGTCGATATCCTGTTAGGGTATCTCATTCCAGGTTACTGCAAGTTCTTGAGTAAGAGCTGCTAAGGTCTGTGGAGGATGTTGCAACCTATTATGTCCCAGACATGTTCAATTGGAGACAGGTCAGGCGATCGTGGTGGCCAAGGTAAACGGTTGATGCGATGTTGATCCATGAACGCTAACGATGCTCTGACAATATGCGGTCTGGCATTGTCTTGCTGAAAAATCGGGTTTTGAATGGTGTTTAGGTATGGAATAAGATGAGGATCCACTACTTCTTGAATATAGCGTCGGGCTGTCATAT